GGGGCTGGTCACTCCCAGGCCTCTGGGCGGCCAGGGCAGGGCTGACTTCCCAGAGCCGGGAAGATGCTCCCAGCACGAGACCAGAGAGAAGCAGCTCAGTGCACACATCATACAGCCTCAGTCCTAATAAATCGCAGACCTCTCCTACATGCACCCCACATGGCAGTAGCAAAACATTGGTTTTTCATTTTCAGATGCTGCATTGTGGAATTATCTAGACCATATGCCTTAGTTTTGGTAAATCTAGGAAGTGTCATTTGAGTTTTCAAAGGCATGGGAAGAATTTCATTTTATTTTTCATAATAAAAGCTGAATATCTTCACTTTTTTCTGTAATTTTTTAAGGTCTCCACAGTTTACCATACTGTATATGATTTAGGGGAGCAGGAGACAGCTCTCAAAGGGGGTGTCAACATTGAAAGTGTCTGATTCTACAGAGCAGACCCTTCAGGTGGGTGTCATGGAGGGTTTCGTTGTTCTCTTACTCAATGTTTGCTACATTTTAGAAATACTCTGTACTGAACCTGTATTTTCTAAATATTAGCAAAAAAAAATTTCATTTAAAATGAAAAACAGGGCCCTCCCTGGTGGCGCAACAGGTTAGGATGCAGCACTGCAAGCTGGCTACTAACACTTCAGAGTGAGTTCAATCCCCGCCCCGGAGCTGACCCACATGGCACGGCGGCAGACCTCTCCTGTCTCACCAGCTGCTCCCCTCAGCAGTGTACTTGGTCAGTCTGCCTGTTCTCCCCACTCTGTCTCTGGTGAATCCTCTTACCACCCCTGCACCTCTGGTTTGTACCCCAGTTCTGTATGTGTAAATAAATAAATCTTTAAAAAACAAACAAAACCCCATGTAGTCTTAGGAAACATCAATTTGTTCACATATATTCTGCTCCATCTTCAGTGAGGAAAAGTAGCTCAATATTCAGCTTTGGGACTTTCCTGTAAAGTGACAATATTTCTTATTCCACCTCCACATCTCATCTCTCTGGAGCTCTACTTTACCTGACTACATGCCCCTGAGAAATGACTGACTTTCTGTTCATGATTTTCCCTCACAGGCTCTGCCCTCCACTCTGGGCCTCCTTCCTGCTGTGACTTCATCCTGCTCATCTTCTGTCCTGAGGCCTGGCCACCTGGGGGTTCCCTGGGGCTCCATGGTGACACAGGCTGTGAGGGACAGAGGACAGGGAGACGCAGAGGGAGCAGAGGGACAGGACCTGCGCTTCCTGCCTGCCCGGGGGCCCCAGTATCCCCGACCCCCACATGCCCCCCCAGGAGCTCCTCCGGGGTGACTGTCCTGAGCCCGGGAGCCACCTGCCTACTCTGACTTGCTTCTCCCAGGGCCGAGGCCTTGGAGAACACTCAGTTCTCACCTGGGGTCTTCTCACCCGGGAGCCCCGACACTGACTGCAGC